GGCTGGAATTTCGAGTTCGGTTCAGCTACAGCTGGCTTTTAGAGCCAAGTGCACGTGTCTACCTTTGAGGAATTTGTTCTCCTTCCTCCATGAGCAGCCTGCGTACCCTGTGTATGTCACAGGAGTAGGAGCTCTCTTTGCTTTACCCCCGGAGGAGATACACCCATGCTCTGTCCTTTGTAACTAAAAGCTGGACAGAGCCTTCAAGTCTGAATTGCTTCGGCTGGTACCGCCTAAATATTTGGCGTATTTCTGCCTGAATTCCATGTGGATGGCTCTCGGCCTCTAACACGCTCCCTCTCATCTTCTCTATAACCCCACACACAGAGATATTTTTGTTCTTACGGCACAGTGTGAGTAGCCAGGCTGTCACCCTTTGTACTGTGATCACGGGCAAATATTGCAAAGCTCGGGGAGGAAATGAGATTTCTCTCCCGGAGCGCTTGCTCTCCCAATCCACCTGGGAAAGGCCTGGATGAAGCAGCCCGGCGTATTGCTTTGCAGCCACTCTTCCCTACAGTGGGAGCAAGGGCCGGTGAACTCCCTGAGGCGGCAGTGCCAGTTTCCCTTCTCAGGCAGAAGAGGACTCGGGTTGTCTCTGAGCTCCTGGGTAGGTCATGGTAGGCAGTAGCGATGCATTCCTTGCCACTTATACACAGCGCAAGAAGTTAAGGAGGCTTTTGCCGTTCCCTCTTTTCAGCAGATGCATCCAGGGTAAAATACTGTATTTTGGACCAAGATTTTTGTCTCGACTAAACTAACCACTAGAAACAACTAGAGTTTAGGCAAAATAGCATACATTTTTCTGGTGATACAGGCTAGCTGGCTGAAATAGCTTTTTAAACATTTCATTTTTCCTCTCTGTCAATTTGGACACTGGAAATCCAACTGATTTGCTTCCCTTGCTACAGTTCACACTCCCTCAAAGCACTGTTTTGAAACAGGTCTTCACGAAACTACTTTTATGAGACTTTATGAGCAGTTTCATTTTCCTACGCAAAATGTACACCCCCATATCGCTCTCACAGGGCAGTCATTTCATTCAGAAGGGGGTTCGCTGCCTACCAAGCGATTTCTCGTTGGCTTTGGAATTGAACGGTGTTGGAGAAGAGAAAGGCATGGGGTAACCTTCCTTTAACCTTGACTTTGCAGACAGATAACTCTGAGCATGACTCCTACAGCCCTTTTCCACTGCTCTTTTTCTGTGTTAAGATTAACACATGGGCCCAGCGAGTTGTGCCTAGGACCTGCCTGTGCAGCCTGCTCTCCTCTGCCCCCGGTGAATGCTGCGTCCGCCTTTCCACACTTCCTGTCCCCAGTGCGTGCTGTGCAAGCAGAGCAAAGCAGCCGGCTCCATAAAGCGCTCCGCAAAGATCATCGCTTTATGGACCGGCTCCATTACTGCCCTTCTAGACGAGCGAACGTCTTCCTAGGACCCAGTCCCCGGGGAGAAGGTAGCACGATGCAGGACACCCTCTCCGAGCGTGGTGTCTTTGCAGCTCTCCTGGCCCTGGGCCTTCCCACGTTGTCCCCCTGTTTCAGGGAATGGGGCAACGGGTTTCTGATAGTCCCTGTGTAACCGTTCAGGGTAAAATGCTGCTGATCTCCCTGCCTCTGCTTTGTGGGGGGCTGCATGGGACCATGAGGATGGGAGCTTGCCCCCAGGGCTTGGGTGCGTATCTAGAGTTCAAACCCCGGGGAGGCAAGGAGTGATGGCAGCTCAACCTCGCGAGCCTGATTTCACGGTAGGTGCAGCTATTTCCATCTAGTTCCCCTTGGGCATTTCTCCTGCCAGCGGCTGTTGTCTTGCCAAGGAGCACCATGGCCCCGAAACCCATCAGTTCCTGCTCAGGGATGCTGCCTCTATTTCGTAATCCATGTGCAGGCTCCCAGGCGACTGAGCTGTCTGAGCTTTTGTTTCCAGGCTTTTTCTCAATTGCAATTGGTGTGAAACACAGAGCAACGCTGGCTTTGCGCGCTGGCCTCTCTGTCCCCCTTGCAAGGAGCCTGGAGCTGGGACGACAGTGCTCTTCAAGCAGTACTGTGACCATTTAGTGCCCAGCCCTGAGCCCCCAGTGTGCAGCTTTGCTTGATTTAACATCCAGCTCTGGGCTGGCAGCAATGTCTGATATTAACCCTGCTTCTCCGCTCTTGTCTTTGCCAGATGGAGATCTCACAGATACGCTCAGCTGCCCACGCTCCACTGCCTCGGAGGCAAACGGCAGCAAGGCCTCTGTGAAGAGCCCCACGCAGCGCTACAACCCCTTCAACGAGGAGAAAGCTGACGTGCCGTCCTCTACTGAGACCACACCAGTGCACACTGCTTCCCAGGAGAAAGCCGAAGCCACCCCTGAAGGAACAGATCAGTCCGAGAGCTGCACAGAGCTGGAGGTCATCAGGTAGGGATAGAGCTGCTGGGGTGCTGGGAGAGGGGACAACATAAATTCCTTTGCCCAACAACCTGTAGTGGAGAGCTGAAAGGAAGCCGTGTGCTTTTTGTTTTAAGCTTTCTCCAGCTAGTGGCAGATTTGCAGCGACCTTGGCTCTCAGATCTTCTCTCCCCTCTTTCCTGTTGTTTGTCGACGAGCTGTGGCTAAACTCGTCGAGTGAGATGTGCCCATAGACCTGTTGTGCTCCGACTGATTCCTTGCAGCCTCGGGAGTCCCTAGGAGCTCCTAAACCCAGACAAAGAGCACAAAACTCTGTCTGCTTGTGCCCAGAGCTCCAGAGATGGGGGCACCCCAAAACCAGCCCAGCAGACCTGTGCTTTGCCCTCATACCCTATTTTTTCCTGGCAGCCAGGAAGCTCAGGGGAGAGATCTCTGAGCTGCGTTATCATTCCTTGCTCTCCGGCAGAAAGGGGAGTGCTGTGCTCACTTCCTAAACAGCAGGGCCATGGTGCCAGGTGACCTGGCAGCAGTTTGGCAGCCTTGGGAGCTGGTGGTCTGAGCACCTCTGCAGTCGGGATCCTGCTAAGCTGTTCAGCTGGAGTGCGCTCCAGGCTGCATCTCCCTCTTCTGGCTGCCAGAGACATGGCATTCCCCCGTCCTCTTCCCTCTCCAGGAAACCTCCCTTCCGAGCATCCTGCTCTCAAACAATGATTTGAGAGCCCCTTTTGCTCCGCATCCCTTTGTGATCCCCTTTACAGCCAAAGGAGACTCGAGATGTTGTGTCTGGTGGAAAAAACCTCTTTGCTCTTCTGGATTGGTGGAAACTGTCTCTGTGTGCTGTGTTTTTTCTGCCTTTCTTAAAACGTTTGGCACAGATACTGGGGGAGCCTGGCTCCTTTTAGAGGGGTGATATCGAGTAATGTTCCTGGTAGGAGAATTTCTCTGTGCTAGAGACAACCCCACAAGAAGATTGTTGGGGCAGGATGGGACCCTCTTTCTGTATTGCAAAAATCTCAGCAAGTAAAGACAAGTGACATCTATGCTGGTCTCTCACCATGCAGGTTAGCCAGGAGGAAGAAAGCGGGCAAGAAGAAGAAAGCAAAGCCGGAGGAACCGGTGAACACCACTGCGCCAATAGCACCTGAGGCCAGCATTCAGCAGGCCGGCGGAGATAGCGGTGTGAACGGGCTGAGTGACAGAGATGACCTGCCAGGAGATGATGGTCTTGCTCCCCCGGGTGATGAGCCAAGCCTGGCTGGACCAGAAGAGAGCAGTGAGCGCTCTGCCCTTGGCCAGCTGGCTTTGCGCATCCCTGAGATGAAGGACACGTCTATGGAGAGCGTGGGGCAGCCGCTGAGCAAGGTGATGGACAGGCTCAACGGACAGCTGGATCCCGGCAGCTGGAATGCCCCACTTGAGCCTCCTGGGCAGTCCTTTCGGACCGGCACGCCAGGGGAGACTCCAGATGGATCGTCCTCTGGCGACCTTAATGAGGGGATTTCAGCCCCCATGGACTTCTACCGTTTTACCATTGAGAGTCCAAACGCTCCTGCATCAGGTGGTGGCCACCATGACACTCCAGGGCCTGGCCAACCGCCACATGTTTCTGGTAGCCCTGAGGCTCCTGAACAAGAAGAAAGCAGAGAGGGAAAAGCAGTTGGGGCAGTAGAAGAGTCTGGAGGGGCAGCTAATGAACCCCAAGTTGGCCAGACAGAAACCACCAACCCAGAGGCTCTCTGTGAGCTGAAGAAAGAGCAGCCCAGCCCTTCCCCGAGCAGCGCTGAAGACTCTGGTGTGGAGGAAGGTCAGGGCAGTCCTTCAGAGCTGACCCACCCCTCTGAGTTCAGGTGAGGCAAGCTTAGCTCAGCTCAGCTCATGGGGTCCTTGTGGGAGCACAGAAAGTGTCCTCCAAACAAAACAGCCCTGGTGCCTGAGCCAGCACTTTTCTCTTTATCCTCAGTTTGGTGGGCAAAGCCCATGCTTTTCCAGGATGAAGGTGATGCTCAAGGGGTGATGGTCGGGAGGAGAAGATCTTGGGGGCCAGCAGTGCCCTAAACATGGACAGGTTCAATAAGGAAGGGGATTGCCCTTCCTGGGCCTTCCTCTGCCCCACGTCTCTCTGTCCTGTCTTTCAGCCTCTTCCTGCTGTCTGTCTTCACAGGGTGGATAACAACCATCTCCTACTGCTGATGATCCATGTATTTCGGGAGAATGAGGAACAGTTGTTCAGGGTAAGGCGGTCACACCAGGGTGGGTGTCCCTGGCTGCTCTCCCACGGAGGCCTAGGCTCCATACCTGCCTCGGCTGTGGGCTGAGAGCTCTTCTCTTTCCTCTCTCTCCTCACAGATGATCCGAATGAGCACTGGGCACATGGAGGGGAACCTTCAGCTGATCTATGTCTTGCTGACAGATTGCTACGTGTACCTGATCCGGAAAGGTATCCCTTCCTGATGGCCTCTGGACTTGTCCAGACTGCTTTAACAGCCTGCAGGACTCTTGTTTAGGAAGGATTTAACCCCTTGGAGGGCTGGAAAGCCAAGGGGAGCAAGGATTGCCTGACCCATGGCTTGCAGCCTGGATTTGGGCAGTGTTGGGCTGCTTTGCTCCTGTTCACGTGGCTCTTTGTGTCTGTGCCAGGGGCAGCAGAGAAGCCATACATGGTGGAGGAGGCTGTTTCCTATAACGAGCTGGACTACATTTCGGTGAGTGCAGGCTGGGTTGGAGCAGCTGAGTTGAAGGTTAGGAGGGGAGGAGCAGGAGGGACTAATGGGTGTTGGAGGGTGGGGTCAGGCCTCATCTCTTTGGTTGCAGGAGGGTGAAGAGCCTCATGGTAGGTACCACAGGGGCTTTCTGCAAACTTTGGTAAAACTTTGTTCCCCATCCCACTTCCTTAACCTGCCTTGTGTGGCACAGGTTGGGCTGGATCAGCAGACGGTGACTCTGGTGTGTACCAATCGGAGGAAGCAGTTCCTGCTCGACACGGCAGATGTGGCTCTCACAGAGTAAGCAGGGACCATGCAGCGAACCGTAGCGCTTTCCTTCGGGCATGCAGGGCCTCCAGCCAGCGCCCTGGACGCCCAGCATGATTTGGGAGATGCAGGAGACTCCAATGACTGTCCAGCAGCCAGTGGGGATTTGGGGTTCAGTTTGATGCCACCAGCTGAACTCTGTGGACAGCTGGAAGTGCTTTGAGCAGTATTAAAGTTAAAAATCAGCCCAAATACTGCAGTAGCTTGCCTGGAAATCCCTGCTGCAATCCCTGATGTTCCTCATGGCTGGCAGCCTTGCCCACTGAGCTATGCAGACCTTGTGTGCCTTGTGATGAGCAGGGAAGAGGTCTTGAGTTTCAGGGTCCCAGCTCTGGAGTTTCAAGGTCCCACAGCAAGTCCCCAGGTCTGTCTTTATGTTGTCAGCTCAAGAGGCATCTTGTGCCTCTTGAGGGCCTGTATGGTCAGTGTCATCTGTGTTGAGCGTGGGTGTCTGTATCCCGGTGTGGTCTTTCAGTTCACAGCTCACCCACCTCCTTCCTGGAGATCAGACTTTGTAGTCCTCATTGCCTTTGGACTGTGGGTTCATTTCTAGACCCTTCAGTCTAGACAGTGGGTCCCCAGGGCTGAGCCCCTATCCAGGGGAAGCCCCTTTGGCACTCTAGCTCTCCTGCTACAGTGTCAGGCCCTGGCCTCAGCAGAGATCTCCATTTCCTTCTCAGGTTCTTCTTGGTGTCCTTGAAGTCAGCCATGATCAAAGGGTGCCGGGAGCCCCCTTACCCCAGTATCCTCACGGATGCCACCATGGAGAAACTGGCGCTCGCAAAGTTTGTGGCCCAGGAGTCCAAGTGCGAGGTGAGCTGGGATACTCCAGCCATCGCTAAATGTGGCAGAGGCTCATGAGAGAATCCCTCCCGTTCACTTCTCTGCCTGTCTCTCACAGGCCTGCGACGTGGTCGTGCGTTTCTATGGCCTTGTCCACTGGGAGGACCCCATGGACGAGGCGCTGGGACCCACTCCCAACAGCTACGCCTCTGCCGAAAATGCAGTCACAAAGGACGGCATCCTGCACTACAAGGCAGGGACTTCATACCTGGGCAAAGAGCAGTGGAAGACCTGCTTCGTGGTGCTCAGGTGGGGCTGCGAGCCATGGGGCTATGGGAAGGGCACTGGAGAAGGTCCTGGGACCTGGAGGGGCCACCGGGGAACTTGAGATGAAGCCCCCAGTCTTAGCCACCAGCAGCGGGATCACACCCCCACAGGGCTGCACGTGCGGAGGGCAGGGCAGGAGCAGTCGTGGGATGTTTGCATGGTCGTCGAGGCTGAGCTGACTCCAGGTACCGACTGTGTCTCTTATCTTCCCCAATGGCAGCAACGGGATCTTGTACCAGTACCCGGACCGCACAGATGTCACCCCTCTGCTCTCCATCAACATGGGGTAAGTAGTGGGAGGTAGCACCCTTCGGACTTGGGAGGGCTCACTGGGATCTGGGGTCAGAGCTTCTCTAGGTGTTTTGGGGCTGATCGTGACCTAGTCCATGCTGCAGGACGTTTGCACGTCCGTGGCTGGGTAACAACTCCTTGCTTGCTCCTGGCTGGGCGTAGACGCTCATTTGGTTTGGCTCCAGGCCTGCTGTGCAGATGGGTTCATTTCTTCCATTTTTGGATGCCAAGCTGACCCTCTGATGGGGAATCGGGCTCTGATGGGCCACAAGTCCTCCAAGAGCCACACTGGGAGGCTGCTGCAAATGCACCGTGTCCAACTCCTGCTCCGCCATGATGTGCAGAAATGGGGCCATCCTTGGAGCAGCTGCACAGGGGGGCCAGGGATCAGCTCCAGCCACCACAGGCTGATGGGAAACTAGTCCTGGTGGGGAAAGGGGAGCAACGTATAGTGCAGGGAAGGCAGACAGAGGCAGGGGCAACTAACAGGATAGCACTGGCCAGTCTGTCCTGTTCTCCCCCACTGATGCCCACCCTCCCTCTCTCTCCCAGCGGTGAGCAGTGTGGGGGATGCCGGCGCTCCAACACCACGGACCGGCCCCACTCCTTCCAGGTGATCCTGACGGACCGGCCCTCCCTGGAGCTGAGCGCCGACAATGAGGCCGACATGGCAGACTGGATGCAGTACTTTTGCCAGGCTGTCTCCAAAGGGGTGAGCACCCTCCTTTCCCCCAGAGCCCGCCTTGGGGCTCAGCCCTCCTGTGGTCCTTCCCGTTGTGGGATGGGGAGTCGCAGGGACTTTAGCTCCCCGAGATAGCAGAGGTCAGCCTAGAGCTGCAGAAAGGACCGAGGAATGATGCTTGAGGTCCAGCTAGTGGGAGCAGAGTTTCCCTGTGAGCCAGAAGAAGGGCTTCCCCTTGCCAGAAACATGGGACATCCATGGAGAGAGACTCCTTCATGCTGGGTTTTAAGTTCCCTTCGCCACCCCGCGCAGGTAATTCCCCAGGGAGTTGCCCCTACGCCTTGTGTCCCCTGCTGCCTTGTGCTGACGGACAAGAAGGCCTTCACCTGCCACGAGGACTGCCAGACAAGCTTCTTCCGCTCGCTGGGCACCATGGAGCTGACGGATGTCACCGCCGTCTCCACAGAGGCCGGCAAGGAGTACTGTATCCTAGTGAGTGTGACGTGTCAGGTGGAGCCTGGCTGGTCCTGGCCTGGGCTAGGGCTGCTGTGGTAACCCCCGGCTTCTCCCTTGGTTTTTAGGAGTTTGCTCAGGACCGCAAGCAGTTCCTGCCCCCCTGGGTCCTCTATTTTAGTTGCACTACAGAACTGGAGAGGTTCCTCTCGGCGCTGAACGCCGCATGGAGAAACATCTACCAGGTGAGCACGTGAGGCTGCGTCGCAGGGCAAACGGGGCCAGCGTGTTCTGAGAAAACTGGGGATGGCTTTTGCCTGCCCAGAAGTGGGGCTAACCCAGCGGAGAGCAGGGAGCTGCCAAGCTCCTCTGCGTCTGTATAACCATGGCAGATGGGTTGGCCAAGGCAGTTCCCACCATCCCTCAACCACCGGATGTGAAGTGCAAAGGGGATGGGAGGTACTACTGAGGGGGAACGACCGGGTAAAGACCAGCGGAAGCTCACGGAGCGAATGCAGCATGGCTTGAGCCTGCTTTTCCTCTTCTGGTGAGGCATCAGATGTGACGTGGGATGTCGCATTTGGAGGGGGAGCTGGTGTGAGTCCCCCACCAAGACTGGCCAGGAAGGACCTTTACCCCACAGGGCTGGCAAAGGGAGTGGGGGACAGCCCCGTCCCCGCTGTCACCAGTATTGATAACGCAAGGGACTTTCATGTCAGTTTGAAGTGGTGCTTGAGGTGATTTTATAACAAGAGGGAGAAGAAAGCGTAGTTTGTCCCAGGGCTACCTCAGTGTGACTTCCTGGTGGTGTCCACGTTTCAGGTGGATCTTCTGCACAAGGCTATCCTGGATGCCGCCGTCAAGAAGAAATGCGAAGATGCTCAGAGCCTCATTGACAGCGCCTGGCAGCGCAGTGACAGCCTGTGCCGCGGACGAGCTGAGCGGGACCCGTGGTGTTAACCCCGGCGGGGGGAAGGACGGCTGACATGATGACCCTGGCTGTTTTGGGAAGAGAGAGCGTGAGCGAGCACGCTCCCGCTGCTGCACGAAGCCTGGCACGTGTATCTGGCTGCCCCAGGGCTAGCCAGCACCCAAATCCTCCTGCCATCACAGGGTACCCGCCTGGAGCGCTGCCACCTCTGCAGGGACAGGCGGACGCTTTGCCGCACTGAGGACGAGGCCAATGGAGGCCGCTTTCATTGTACAGACCCTCCTGCGTTGTCCAGCTGCCTCTGGACAAGCTACCTGTCAAGGAAAAACAGCCTACGAGTGATGAGGGTGGGAGCGGGGTGGGCTGGGGTTGGGGTGTCCCCCGATTTCAGGCAGGAGCACGGCTGGACCCGGGTGCCCCGCGCTGGGACCAACTAGTTGTTCATTTTAGAACAAGGTAGGTCATGGATGGGGCAAGATTGGAACCCTACATTGCTACCATGCATGTTTTACCCTCGCTAATACAATCACCGAGTACGGCACCACTTCATCTCCGCCTTCCCTGCCCTGCGGGGACCTCTGGGCGCCTGCGGGGAGAGCTCACTGGGAGACATGCCTGGAACATGCTCGCTGCACACCTACATCCAGCCGCCGCAAAATGCCACGCGCCGGCCTGTCGACGAGGCTGCAGGCACGGATCGGCGAGTTCAATCTCGCCTCCGTAAGGCAGAGGGAAGAGGGGACCTAAGGGACGTCGGGCAGCTGCCGTGAAGCCGGCTGAGGGGCATGCCTGGAGCTCTTGGCTCACTTAACACCCACGAGAGGGGGTCGAGGAGTGGAGGCCGGTGGGTTGTGGACCCTTCCCCATTGCCCTCTGCAGACTGGGCAGAGTTGGAGCTTTTTAAAAGGATCTGGAGACCTTCTCCTGTAATGTATGTGCACGGGGCCTTTTTTCGGGGAGAAAAACATATGTGACTGAATGTATATGTATATACATCTGCTTCCTTTCCTCCCCCCTCCCCAAATAAATATTCATTGGTAACTCAGATCTGGCCCTCTGAATTTCCACAGCGGAGGGCTGCGTTTCCTCCCTGGCTTGTGATTTCCTAGCAGTTTCTTGGGCCCTTTGGAGGACAAACTACTCAGGCTGGAGCGGAGGGAGGTGCTGGAGCTGGCCAGGAAGATGATGGAATCCCAGGCTGTCACAAAACTCAAGAGGGTTGAACCGTGCGGGGCAGCGCGTTTGCGGATTGTCGCTCGATGCGTATTCACAAGCAATGATTATCCCTCCTGGTTTGTTCCCCAGCTCTGAGAGCTATTCCCAGTCTAGACAGGGACTAAACAGGGCACGAGAGCTATTCCCAGTCTAGACAGGGACTAAACAGGGCACACGGTGCAACGCGGGACCCGACACAACCTGGGGCCTCTCTTGCCTCACAGGGAAGCCC